CTCTGCATGGAGTGGTCTAGATCTGGAACTCCTCGGGAGCACTCCCAGTGCCTTGCCCACACACAACTGGCATAGTCACTTCACTTGTCTGTGTCTGCTCTTCCCTCCCAGCCACCCTCACCACAGTGCTTGCTAACCAGCACATCCTCAGCCCAAAGCAGACGGCTAATAAAAGCTCACAGAATTAAATATTGTGGAAACTATACCTTTAATCAATTCAATCTCCAAAAACAGGGATCATGATGAATGGGAAAACAGACAGACAAACATCGAGAGCTTGGTTGGCCCTGACCTTATGCTCCACAGCTTTCTCTTCTGCCTTCTGCATCTCTGCTTTCAGCTGCTTTTCCATGTCTGAAGAAGAACACTTGGCAGAAGCAATGGTGATATCCCGCTGATGTAACTCCTGAGTTAGCTGGGAGATTTCCACCTTCATTCCTTCCAGTGCAGAGCTGTAAGTTTGTTCAGCCTGCAAAATCTGTTCTTTCAACTACGAAAAGGCAAAAAGAAAACCACCAAAAGTTAAGAGAAAGTATTTCAAACCCAGATATGTGGTAGTGCACACCAGTCATCCTAGCACCTGGGGGGCAGGGACAGGAGGGTTCCAGACTGAGGTCAACCTGGGACAACAGCAAATTCAGGTGAGCCTGAAACTTCACAGTAAAACCACACCTCAAAACACAATGTTTGGAGATGTAGTTCGATGATATAGCAGTCGCCTAACACATACAAGGCCCTAGAAAAATAAACTTAGATAGGAAGATTATAGCATCATCGATGGTTGCCAAGGGAAGGGGAGTCATTTTCTTTAGTGGTGTAGCCACTGGTAAGTAAATGCTTACTTACCATGCTCCAGTAAATAACCCCCTAGTAATGTTCATACAAGCAACTCTGATTAAACTCAGTGTGTCTAAAAGAAAAAACATGAAAGTAGGAGGGGAACTAGTTGGCAAGAAGGGGGTCAGCCAGAGAGGACACTTAGGAGTGAGTATGACGACAGTACACTGTATGTATGCATGTATGAAATAGTCAAAAAAATTTAAACTTAAAACATGCATAATTAAATACATCAATTAATAAAATGTTTTTCATACTTTCACATGCAATTTTTCCTAGATTAAATCTGCAGAAAATTAGCATTTTACCAACTTGTATAACTATACTGAAAGTCTGGTGGTTAAAGCCATCATCGTTTATTAGATTTCACAAGAGCATGAGCTACATTCAGACACTGAGGACCAGTATCAAAGTTCACGCACAGTTACAGAAGGCAGCACCTTTCACCTTCATTCTTTTGGCAGCTACAAATAAATTTTTAAAAATTGCTTTATCTGGTTTTCTGGTTCACAGAAGATAAATAACAAACAGGAAGATAACAGGAAGAAAGGTGCAAAGGGCTGGTCCAGACGATGGCTCAGATGGTAAAGTATCTGCAGTGTAAGCAAGAGGACCCGAGTTCAGATCCCCGACACCCACATAAAAGAGGCCAGGCAAAGTCATGTACATCTGTAACCCTCACACAGGGGGATGGGGACAGGCAGATCCCTAGAGCTCGCTGGCCAATGAGTACTGAGTTCAGTGAAAGATCCTGTCTCAAAAAGACAAGGTGAGGAGAGAAGACACTTGATGTCGACCTCGGCACATGTACACACACACTAAAAAAAAGGAAAGGGATAGGAGTAATCTTAAAGCAGTAATAAAAAATACGAATCCAGCCGAGCATGGTGGCGCATGCCTTTAATCCCAGCACTCACACTCGGGAGGCAAAGGGAGGCGGATCTCTGTAAGTCCACCCTGGTTCCTGGTGAGTTCCAAGCCAGCTGGGGCTA